TTGTTCTCCCCTCCCCTTAGTGTTCTCTCACCCTTCTTGTTCTCCTCACCTTCTTGTTCTCCCTCCACCTTCTTGTTCTCCCTCACCCTTCATGTTTCTCCCTCACCCTTCTTGTTCTCCCTCACCCTTTCTTGTTCTCCCTCACCTTCTTGTTCCTCCCTCACCCTTCTTTCTCCCTCTTGTTTCTCCCTCACCTTCTTGTTCTCCTCACCCTTGTTCTCTCCCTCACCCTTCATGTTTCTCCCTCACCTTCTTGTTCTCCCCCACCCTGTGTTCCTCCCCTCACCCTTCTTGTTCTCCCTCACCTTCTTGTTCTCCTCCCCTTCTTGTTTCTCCCTCACCTTCTTGTTCTCCTCACCCTTCTTGTTCTCCCTCACCTTCTTGTTTCTCCTCACCTTCTTGTTTCTCCCTCACCTTCCTTATTCTCCCTCACCCTTCTTGTTCTCCCTCACCCTTCTTGTTCTCCCCTCACCCTTCTTGTTTCCTCTCCACCCTTCATGTTTCTCCCCTCTTATTCTTGTTCTCCCTCACCCTTCTTGTTCTTCCTCACCCTTCTTGTTCTCCCTCACCCTTCATGTTCTTCCTCATCCTTCATGTTCTCCCTCATCCTTCTTGATCTCCCTCATCCTTCTTGATCTCCCTCATTTAATCTCTTCAACCTCATTATCTTTCGCTCTGCTCGGCGTCCATCTTCCCGGGCCACCCTTTTCTCCTCTCTCTTTCCCCTCCCCTTCCTTTTCCTTCCTCTTCTCTTCCTTTCATTTCACTTTTCTCCTTTCCCCTTCTAATCTTTACTTTCTCCTTCCTCCTTCCCTTCCTTTTCCTTTCAATTTTTCTCCTACTTTTCCAGTTTTTCCCCCTTCTCTCCTACCTGTCCCTTCCTTTACTCCCTTTTCATCTCCTTTCAATATTGCCCTTCCTTATTCCCCTTCCTTGTCCCTCCCTTATTCTCCCTTACCTGTCCCTCCCTTGCACTCCCTTCCCTCTCCCTCCCTTATCCTCCCTTCCTGTCTCTCCCTTATTGTCCCTTTCCTGCCCCGCCCTCTTTCTCCCTCCCTCCCTTCCTTCCACACACCCAGCCACCACCACATCCCACACAGTTTGCGTCGGCCGGCGGCTGCTCACAGAGTTCACCTAAAACACCAGAGCTGATGGGCGAGGCCTCCGGGGTGTGTGGTGGAACCAAAATTTTCATCAGACAGAAGAGTCATTACCGACGTAACAACTACGACCAGTCGACCAATCAACGAGACGCCTTTGATTACAGTGATCAGCTAGTTCACTTTTACGATGAAAGCAGCGGACGTGTTTGCTTTCTTTTTACTTTTTTTTCTTTTTTAATCCCATGACACGAGGCAATCTTATTAAAGGTCGGTTGAGCGTAAACAGCTTTTCACCAACGTCGATGAAGGAACACAATTGTAAACTGAAGAATAAAAGTCGCCCTGAACCAGTCATGTGACGAAACGTTCCCAAACAAATATGTGGAGAAATTTGAGGATCAGCTCGTTACAGTTACGTTACTCTCGTTAAGATTGACACGAAGATAAAGGAAATCTCCTCTCATGTGTGTAAGCTCAAAACATCTCAGAACTGAAAACAAGTATTTTTTGTAAATATTTTCTGAAGTTTGATCCTGACCATAAAAGTATTTCAGGAGACACTCGGCCACCATATAGTGAAACATCAGAAAAGCGAATAATTCAAGTCCCATATTTATTGGCCAGTTTTCCTGTGTCTTCCAAGTGTCACCTCCAGACGTAAACACTACTACACCTTATAGTCCAGCGGGCAGAGACCAAAACCCTCCTCACCCCTTGTCTATTTTGCTAAGTACTATTTCTAATTTGGAATTACCCGAGGCAATATGAACCCACTTGTTAGCACTCTCAAAAGTGGTGGAGGGGGTGAGCACAGCCTTCCAAACCTACCACACCCAAAACTAAATATTTAATGAGTTGTTTTTCTAAACTGCTCACAGTGAAAACAATTCTAAACAAAATTTAATCTATGAGGTTTGATTGAGCATCAAATATCAATAAAGAGCAACCCGCGGTTGAGGAAAGGGATTCAGCATCAGCGGACCATTGACAAGGGTCCCCACAAACCGGAAGAATTTCTTAAGCGAAAGCAGTAATAAAATACAAGTCATTGACCTCAAAGAGTGGTCCAAACCTGAATATTCAAATAAACTCCATGAAGTTTAACTGTACTTCACAAACAAAGACAAATGCTTCATTCCAGCTAGTCAGATGGGAAGAGAACTGTGGTAAAAGAGTGTGAAGAACTGTGTTCAACACAAGAAGGGGCAGATACCCGCATCTCATGAATGCCGCCAAGCAGTCTGATAAAACACCTTTGATAGACAGATCATCTGACACAGATGTGTTATGTCTGTTGGTCCATCATTACGCTGCAAACAATCTCAAAACCCAAGTCATGAAGGATTCCGGAGCAGGCGATAAACGGTTATGAAAGATGTAGAGAACATTGTCACTAAAACTGGGAGAGATCTGCTTGGACTCCACGCATTCACGGGCTGCGATAGTGCGAGTGCCTTTGCCCGTAAAGTTCGTCCATGGACTTACCTGGTGAAACATCCAAACCTCATGGAATGTTTTCAGAAAATGGGAGAACGTACAGATCTAACTGATAAAGTATTTAATGAATTGGAGAATTTTACTTGTAAAATTTATGGATATCAGAATGACCGCCTGGTCAACAAAGTTAGATATAAAGAAATTGTGCAGTCCTTCTCTCCCCATGGTTCCCTCATCAGTAGTTCAACTGTTGTGTATATCAGTTTATTGCCTCCTTGTCAAGCATCATTGCAACAACACATTTTCGGGGCAAACTATCAAGTTTTTACATAGAAAACTGCCACCCATACACAGCCATATATCCCTGATGCTACCAATAATGGCTGGCAAATGGACTCCTTTGGTCACCTCGCTCAAAAATGGATCGTGTAAAGTATGCCAACTGAGCTGGTCGATTTATTGGTCACTAACAAACGCTCAGGTGAACAGAACTGTGAGTCTGGGGGAATATGATGGTTTTGATGATTGAGCTCTATTATGTAATTAATGTGACAAAGGTTTCATTAATTTTATGTTTAATACAAAAGTCTGTTCTTACAATTTGAACAAATGTGTTTGTTCACTTAATCTATGCTATACTTTTGTTAAAAATATAAACACAAATAAGAGCAGTTATAAAAACTGTAATTAGCATTTAATTACCAATTACCATAGCACATTATTCTTGAATAAACTGGTTACTTTACAGCAATCTGATTTTAATTTCCCTCTAAGTATGTACATAAAATATAACCTTGATCATCATTAACCATATATATCACGGAAATGTTTATCATTTAGTAATGGCAGCGATAATGGACGTCTATAGTTTTGAATATAGTATAGTAATTTATATGGTTATAGTTATTGACAAAAGAAATGGACCTGTTAATGTTGTCATATTCCGAAAGAGGATTTTACAGTAGTTTTATGATGTGACTGATATATTATGTACGCTCCCGCTGCATGGCCGCCATTTGGAATATGATTAGTCTTCCCGAAACTCATAATTCATTGCATAAATGACTTGTTGAAGGTAAACTAAATGTAAAAATAATGTAGCGCACACGAATTATTTCTGGGACTGTTAGATTACTTCGTCTTTTTTCTTAATTTTTAGGATTTTCGTAGTTATCCATATTAAACATGCTGCCGTGACTTCCTCCACCACTTTTACAGGTGCTAACAAACAGAATTCTATTTGTATATGACTAAGTTATAAGAAAATGTCATTAGCAAAATAAGCAAAAGGGGTGAGAGAGGTTATTGTCACCCCACGGTCTATTGGGACAGTGATGGGGTAACAACTCTGGGACTACCTGCTTGACGACGCAGTAATTGCCTTGTTACAACACTGTTTCATTAACGATACAAAGAAATTCAACACTCACTCAGTTCAACACTTGGTTTCTTTATCATTAATACAGAATCCAAGGTTTTGGGTCACTAATATGAGGTGACAGTCGACAACCTCCACAACAAGAGCCACTAACCCACTTTCTCCACCAATAGATCGAGTCAGAGATAATCCCAACCAATCAGGACCAAGACTTAAGATTGTTCCGGCCGTAATAAAACAAAGGCTTTGGCGGCCACACAACCAAAATCATTAACCTGGTCTCTGGTGACACTTATATATTAGCAGTTTTAGTCCTTGATGATCACTAATGAAAGTTCCCTCATATTAACCGAACTGAACCTTACGACCACACGTGAAGACAGTAAAGCTAGAAAAGACCTCCAACAAGAACCCAGACGAATGATTTCCCTGTTTTGATATACCTATAGAGAAACATTACCTATAGAGAAACATTACCTATAGAGAAACATTACCTATAGAGAAACATTACCTATAGAGAAACATTGATGCTGTTTAATTTTAGATTGAATTATGCTGTACAGTAAGTTCGAATTTTTACAATTATCAGAAATACATTGGAATTATCCCTGAAGCGCGTGAGACACATGTGTCCCTAACGTCTGACCATTGCATAACACACACACACACACACACACACACACACACACACACACACACACCTTGTATGTACAGTACAATACATTACGTCTCTCTTGCCTGGCCGTGACGAGCGTACATGTATGCTAAGGAACTTTTTTCAGTCGTCCTGGATGAGGAACTGAGTTCACAACCTTTGGCGTCACTTCCAGACATAAAATAAATTAAAACTTTAATTACATCTGAGGTCGTTCAACCCTCGACCGCTAATGATAGGCCATCTTCATCACCGACTGACCTACAGAGCTAATGTCTCTTAATGAAACGAGAAAAGTCAACAGTAGAAGACGTATCTATGTGAATAAAACCATTCTGCATTAATCAGTTAAGTAATGTGAATATTTGAAGACATGAAAACTAAGAACAATAATCGCTAAAATCGCTGATATGTTTATACTGAAGAATTAAACAATTGAGAAAAATATAATTTTACGTTGTGTTTTAGTTTAAATGCCTTCTTTATATAAGAACCACAACACAAACACTTCATTTCACCTTTCCTACAATGTTGCTTTTGACTTTCAATAAAAAATAATTATAAAGTTTACATTTCTTTGGCGTTAGAATGCAAATTCTTGAGTAAATTTTGTTGTTTACAGAAGACTTGAATATCTACCAAGTGATCCAACATTTCATCAGCTTCTGGGCACATCTGGAGGTACGTCTGTATGGTCTCAAAGGCAGCCCTCATATCAACACCACCTGGAGAGTGTGGCAGCGTGGGCTCGGATTCGCTGTCACCGTCGTCAACCTCATCAGACTCGGAGTCCTTCCCGACAGATTTTTCCGTCGTGTCAGCCTCTGATGAATCAGTAGTCTCTAGGTCATCATCAGCACACACGCAGATGTTGAAATCCTTAATGTCCAGCCCATTTTGAGTTATTATTTCCTGGATGAAACTGTTGATCAAGGATTCCCATTCAGGCTCACGGTAGTTGAATGATATCAGCTCACAGCTTCTGAATGCGTTGATGATGGTTGTAGGCGTCACAGCAGCCCAGGAGAAGCGGAGGCGATACAGCGCATCGAGTAAAGAAACGGTAAAGTTCTTCTTTGCTCTGATACAGTCGCTCATTTTTTCCAGTAGACCCAATTTATAGTGAATCTTCAATTGTCGAATGATTCCTTGTTCCAGTGGCTGGTTGCTGGACTTCAGAGGTAAGAAGGTCAGAGTAATGGCTTTGAGGTCCGTGAGGTGTGGATGGGCGGGAGTGTTGTTGACAACCATGACGACGCTACGTTTGGACTGATAAAAAACTTCATCGAGTTCCCTTAACCAGTTCTCAAAGACACCAGGTGTCAGTTTGGCCTCTCTGTCTCTCACGTATGACCCTGGCAGAGTCTGGACGCCCCTAAAGCATCTGGACGTGGCTGACTTTCCGATCACCAACAGAGGCAGTTTCTCAGTACCAGACATGTTGGCCCCGAGGAGAACAGTTAAGCGCTTCCTGGACTTGAGGACGCCATAAAACTGCCTTCTTTTTGTTGCCATGCGGCTTTCTGGCACCAGAAGGTAGTAGATACCAAATTCACCGGCGTAAAAGATGTTATCTGGATCATAGTGGGCCAAGACATCAGACGGAGAGGTGGAGACGCTGGGTAAGGTATTGTTGTCGTGGCTGGCAGCTTTGATCTTCTCGTCAGCGGCTTGGGCCTCTAAGTAGGTAACTTTGGCCTCCTCACCGACGACTTGAGGTTCCTCACAGCTGACGCCGATCTCCAAGTAGGTGACTTTGGCCTTTTCACGTATAATTTGAGGCTCCACACTGGCAAGTGCAGCCTCAAAGGAGGTGGCTTTGGCCTGCTCACTGATGACTTGAGGCTCCTCAGTAGCGACACTGACTTCCTCGATGGCTATTTTTTCCTCCCCATAGGTGATTTTGGCTTCTTCTTTGGTGATTTTGGTCTCCTCAACACTGGAGCTGAAAACCAGGACGTGTCGTGAATCAGAAGGACGAAATGGCGTGTGAAGTGGTTGCAGCGGCCACACACCCATTCTCTACACATCACGCACACCGCACGCAACGCACAGAATCACGGAAACTTAAACGTGTAAACAGGAAAGCATCACCAGAATGGGGATTTAATATTCAACGTTCTCTTAAGAAGAACTGGATTGGCCACTAATACAGTAATAGAAATTATATTAATGAGAATATTAATGTTAATATTTATATGTTATAAAACTAATAGCAGTATCAATATGTGTGCCGTGAAAAAATCCTTTAACAATTTGTCTCATTTCAACAACACTAAAATTAGGTTATGAAACTTTTATCAATTTCCTGCCATCATCATACCTACCATACCATACCTGCCATGATTACAACTAATCCACAACCATAACTACCATGATCATAACACTCCATGACCATAATCATCACTTCTCGCCTCTAATAGACAAGTCGTATATCAGACTGTGTGTACACCACCTAATACTTGAGTGTTATTAAGAAAACAATACAGTACAATGCCCACATAACCCATACAACGATGTGACTGTACAGCAATGATACAAAATTTAATACAATCATTGAATCTTATAACTTCCAATGTCTCACACACACACACACACACACACACGTAACTACACCTGGGAATTTGGGACGTTGAAGATATCTGTATAACATCCTCCTTGTACTACACATATATATCATAATTAAGGACAAAATGTGAATACTTAGCAATGGTTACAACATTACTGACTGTCACATAGTAAGGTAGCTTTACTCAATGTAGACTTTCTGAAAAATATACCTAAAATTATTTATCATACTTAAGTGTAAACACAAAACAAACATTTATAAAAGACACAAAGACAAGGTTAATATATAAAGCTGTAACGTAGAAACATTATATGGGTGACATAAATTAAGTTGGTCACGCTGGTCACTAACACGCGTCACAGGTTGCTGCTCCCAGTGTGGCTCTCTGGTAGTGTGGCCTCATACTACACTATGTACTTCACTCTGAGTAAATAGTCAAATCAAATAGATATTTCCCTGAATCTGACTCAGGATTTCAACCAAATTTTAGACAGAAGGCTCAAAGAGGATTTATTTGCAAGTGGGAGCGAGCCAGGGTAGTGTGGTCCCCTATCGCTTACAACATTAGTAAGCAACGGGAACCAGATTATGTCAAGAGTCTCTGGTTTATGTCGTATAAAACCTTGCACCCACCACTAGTTCTAGTATCGGGCTGTCTAACCGGGAGAGCTCGGAGCTTCAGCGAAGGTGCAAGTACATACTGTTTTATATCTTGCTCGCAACTAATTATTCTGATGAACATATGTTATTATGTCTCCTCTAATAAATCATAGATAAAATCGAAGAAATTTAGTCTTCAGATGAGAACACTTTCACCCCTGAGAGTAAGAATATGAGCGACAGTTGTTATGTTGATGTAAAATTCTGTATCTTATTTTCTATGTGATTGAGTGAAGGCATGGACCAGTTATCGAACACAGGACAAGTACCCAGACTTCATTATCACGATAACCAGTCAACATTATGAACCAAGAAGCCATTTACTAGAAGACAGTGACTATAAACCAGCTGCTGACGACCATATCAGAGAGCAGGAGGGAGCTAATGAAATTCCTTTAGGGGTAGTCTCCGAAACAAATGAGGGACATCACTGCTAAAACGGCGAAGAACGTCAGTCCAACATGATAGATTACCCCTAAGTGGGCTCCGTCTGACATTAAAAGGTCAAACAGACAGGAAAAACTACTGCTAATGTGGGTGATGTGGTCAGCTTGATGCAGGTACAAAGCTAAACACCATCGATGTTGTTTGAAACAGACAATATAGCCACGTTTATTTTATATACAGCAAATAAGAATAATAGTTGTAATTTTTATGTGTATAAGTGAATAGTTTTATATAAGACTTAACCTAACTTTACCCAACATGTTGTAGTTATATGATATTACGATATACCAATTAATTATCAGCCGATGACTAAAACTTCAGTTAATTTTTAAAGTTTAATCGGAGCTTATGCATATTTAGTGTGTGTGTGTGTGTGTGTGTGTGTATATATATGTGTGTATGTGTGTGTGTGTGTGTGTGTGTGTGTGTGTGTGTGTGTGTATGTGTGTGTGTGTGTATGTGTGTGTGTATATATATATGTGTGTGTGTGTGTGTGTGTGTGTGTGTGTGTGTGTGTGTATGTGTGTGTGTGTGTATGTGTGTGTGTGTGTGTGTGTGTGTGTGTGTATATGTGTGTGTGTGTGTGTGTGTGTGTGTGTGTGTGTGTGTGTGTGTGTGTGTGTGTGTGTGTGTCCGCCACAACAAATTGGGATGTTTGTCCGATTAAGTATTAAATAACAAATTATAATTATGCCAAGTAGGGATCACATTTTGTTTTTATTGACACAACTTATTGGAAGTTAGTTAAGGTAAGGTAGAATAATATATTTTATCATATAAGACGTCGTCGATTATTATAATGTAACCAAAGGTGAGGTTAGGTTAGGTTAGGTTAGGTTAGGTTAGGTTGACAATGATGTTATTTAATTATATTTTGTATTATGATTATGTACTGTACAATGTATACCCACATGAACGTCTCTATATCCAGATCAGTTTAAATAAAAAAGAAGAGTGGAAAATATCACGACATATGAGAGAGAGAGAGAGAGAGAGAGAGAGAGAGAGAGAGAGAGAGAGTTATCAATACTTGGAAAGGTTCACAAAATATCATATATGGAAAGTTTTGTCCATGTTACACTACATTCTGTGACGTAACAAAACACCATTTTACCATAATTTAGGATAAATCGCATTAACTATCACAACAATACACTGGAAATTATATCTAAACTGTGTCTAGGACAAAGCCAATTGATGCTTAAGTTCACGCGATGTTCTCATTCAGTTTTACCCGCAAGTGAGTCCGATGGCGAAGACCAATTTTTCACACCCTTTCAATAATTCCTAAATGCGCTTAAATTATATTCAAGTACATAGATAAGCAATATTATTCACTCGTTGATTAATAGCTCACGAAACACTGGCCGTATACAGTTAAAACTATAAATTAAAAAAAATATGAGCTAATTAATCAAAGCTACAAAATACACAAATAAAGATACTATTAACAGACGAATAGGAACAATCTGTTAGAGGTACAACATGAGAACTGTACAATACAGTCAACTACTTAAGTCCGTTCGCCTCTCCTCTTGAGCCGTGAACCGCGAGATTCAAACTCATAAATCCGAAGCATTTATGGACAGAATAATGCATCAACTGCTTCAGGTTCATGGTGTCTGAATCTCGGGTTTCATGGCTCAAGAGGAGACGCGAACGAACCTTAGTAGTTGACTGTACAGTAGGCGATGGCAATATGTACTGTAAACACTAAATAAAAGGGGCAGAGCAAATACTACCAAAGTCGCATGAGTAATAGGTAGTAGGTTTGCTAGCCGCCGTAGTAATAGTTCTCTAAGCAAAGACCACGAGATCAGTTTCTACACCAGATGGCAAAATTTTAAGGTATGAAAGAAATACCGATTCAGTTCCTAAACCAAACAGGAACTTTAACTTATAATGAAAGATATACTGTACTTATTTTCTTAATTATAAACGTGCTTGCGAATTTAACGTCTTTAGAAATAGATCAGTAAGTCAAGTTCTACACCAAAATACAATTACTAAAATCTAAGGGAAATTTACTTAAAGATAACTCGTGACGTTCACTTGTTTCTCCGCCCTGAAGCTTCACGTATTACCCCACTAGCAGAGTCGGGAGTCTTGTGGCATTATATTTAATACTAAGCGGATTACTATAATATTGGGTAGAATGTTCTTAACAAGAGATAAATTACCTTCAACAATTACAGTGACCTCATTACTATTATCCACTGATCCATTTAACGGATAGGAAAATACTTAATTATGCTCTTGGTAGCATAATTAATTAGATTGACTAACGCACATATACAATAGTTAAAAAATATAATAAACTCAGTTCTATGATATTTGTAACTAAGGGAAAAAAAAAACAAATATTCCAGCTCCTTTATCGCCATAATTGAAAGTGTGAGTGAGCCCCGCAGGCGTGGCGGCCCATTTGTTGCCTAGGCAGATACAACATACTGTAGATTGATCCCTATGTAGTTACACAAGGGGACAGTGTGTCCAGCTGTTGCACTCGACCTATTTCAATTCATCAACTGTACAGCTAGGTACCCATTCATAGCTGAGTTTACTGGGAGTTGAACCAGAGACCTTGAAGACAGGAAGCGAGTGATACAGCCACTCGGCGGTCACAATAATTAACATAGTTATAAGTAAAGTGAGTACATTCTCAGTTATGGTAGAGACCTTTATATCTAACTACTGAGGAACATATGTACAAACTACTACCATGGCATCACGAAAATTGTGACCAAGTCCCAGGTTGCTGATCTGACTTTCTGCCTCATTTACACACAATTGCAGGGTCTCAATTGTTTCTCTAACGTGAGGCAACACAACATACATTTATTCGTATCGTTTCTCACTACTGTTTTTTTTTCATTTTTGTATTTCTTCATGGCCCTTTATTATTATTATTAAAGTGTTGATATTATTATTATTGTTATAATTATTATTTGAATATTTTATTTTTTATTTTTTATTTTTTATTATAAATTTTATTTACTAGGAATTATTATTATTATTATTATTATTATTATTATTATTATTATTATTATTATTATTATTATTACATTTTCGCCCCCCGGACCCTGATGTGGGTCAGTGACCTGTGCCCGGGTGAGCTAATCCCCGTAAAAAAAAAGATAACTGCTGAGGATTTTACACAAACAAACAGTAAGTAAGTGCTGTGAATATATAGATCAACGATGCACACTTCTGTACATCCATGTGGGTTACACGAGCTAAAAACAGAACACGGTTGACGACATGTAAATGGGTGTACATAAGTCTTCAAACAACTACAGACAAAATTACAACAAAATACCAGAGTGGGAGGAGAGTGACAGGCCCACTCAGCTAAGGCAACTCTGGCTCATACGCTTTTAAATAGAAAATCAGGTCACAGTCTTAAATGACCTGTGTCATTCTATTCTCCCACTCGATACTGCTGATTGAAAATGACGGAGAAATAAAAGTAAATATATAAGTAGGTAATTCGTAAATAAAACACCCTAACTGGCCTTCATATCGGCATTAGTGCCACGAAAACTGATCAAAACTTTAAAAGATCGGCCCCGAGAGTCCAGTACGACCGCCCTTAGCCGCCCAGGTAATGACCATCACACCGCGCTAGGTTAAGAGAATTCAATTTTCTAAGTGAGACCGAAACATTCCGTAGGTTTGTTATTGAGCTTAATCTTATTCTACTGTTTGGTGGAGGAGAGAGAGAGAGAGAGAGTCCCCTGAAGATTAACACTATACACCGAGCTTGCGTATTATGTTATGGTTCCCCTTTGATATTGACACTCTAAGTATTGTTTGTTGTTATTACTGGGAGGCGTATTAATTACTGTGGCAGGGTGTTTGACTAGTAATAGTAGTAGTAGTAGTAGTAGTAGTAGTAGTAGTAGTGTTATGCGTAAAATTAATAGATATAATAGTACATCAGATGTCATAGTAGTAACAAAGGTAATAATAGTAGTACAGTAGTAGTAGTATTGGTTACTGTTGTTGTACAAATAGTGGTGGTAGTGGTAGTAATAATAACAATAACATTATTAGTAGTAGTGGCAATAATAATAATAATAATAATAATAATAATAATAATAATAATAATAATAATAATAATAATAATGATAATGATAATAATAATAATAATAATAATAATAATAATAATAATAATAATAATACAGGTGAGGTAGTAGACATGGTAGGAGTAGTCTTAATAGCACTTCTAGGGTACATTTTAACAATAGACGGAGCTAGTAGTAGTGATCAGTGGTGGTAGTAGTTGTAACAGTACTCAAATAAATATTAGTAGTAATAGTAGTAGCAGTTGATGTCTTATTAGTCGTATTACCATTTGTGGAGGGAGTAAGATTGACAGAGGGCGTGGTAGTACTGAGGGAGAGAGTGTGAGCGTATGTATTCCTAACAATTTCTGTTCACTAAATTTACTCATCCAAATTATCAGGCTTTTTATTAATGTAAACAATGATAACACAAATGAAGTTCTTGAAAATTTGATCTTAGATAAACATGTGGTTCAAATTCTAATTCCAACTAATTTTTTGTTTTGTTATAATGCTAACTACATACTGTGTCAAATAATTAATTAACAAATGTTTATACGATCTGAAGCTACACACACCACGTGGTACACACGCCCACAACATCAAAATCGACCCATTTCAGACTTCTTTTTTGCAATCAATACAGAATGCATGCAAACCCATTTTCTCTGAAGCCGCCCGACTGATCATAGAAAACGAAGATTTTCCACCCAAGTGTGTCTCGTGATGTTCTGTAATATGAGTCACAAACGTTCAATATCTAACGCATTTATGTATGTCTATTTCACGGATGGCAACTCTCTTTGATCTAATTTACATATCGTTGACCATACTGTACAGTATAAGCACTGACCGGCATTTTATATAGCTTAAATGCACTGTCTCGTGTTTTTTTCATACACACATCTAGCACAATTTCACTTTTACAAGCTCTTGCTTCTCATTAAAAATTTTCTGTGAAGCAAATTCTTCACTAGTTATCTTCACTTTCATTACACCAAATACAGATAAAAACAGAAAATAAGGATAATAATGGAGTGACGTAGGGGATACAGACACGGCCTCTCCCAGTGTTACTAGTTGTTGTCATATATCCACTTCGTAATTTTCACTCGGTACAGATGTCCACTATGAGATTATCTTTAAAGGAATTTATCACTTTTTCAACCTATACGATAGGCTACTGTAAAATAAATTTAATATCTTAAGGAAACATGTGGAATTATAGTTGTGTCTGAGTGAGGGGAGCAGAGATTCCAGTTTCTCTCGTCTATGGTTGTCAGAGGGGGATGGAGTGTGTTTGTTCAGACAGATCAATACTTCAGAGATAGTACTTACGTATAGCAGTTCGATGGAGCCTTAATGTGTTGGGGTAGCTGTTCAAAATACTGACGAAATTCTTCAAACTCTCTGTCTGCCATCTTGAATAGACTGTACGTAGACTCGCTGCTTCTACTGGTTGCCTAACAGCACGGTGTACAGACGATACTCGAGCTAGCCGTCGAGCCGCGGTGCTTCCCACCTGATGGTCCAGTTGTCTAATGGCTTTAAATTTCCTGTTTTAATTATGCAAAGAAAGAGTTGTGTGCGTTTTTTATTGAAGAACTAGATTATGTGATAAATGAGCACAATCACACCCAAAGCCCAAACACTATCATTCCTTCCAGCAATCATAAGGTTAAAACACACACCACAACACCATTTGTATGGCATCATAGACATAGAACTTAATAATCAATAGATAGCAGAAGGCTTTTGGAATGTCATAGATTATCAGATGTTCATACAATGTTTAATAACTCATGAAACTGTTTTTCTGGAAAATCATTAATAGGTGTTTCATGAACTGGGTGCGTACAAACACCACAGAAAACGGCAGGAAAACGAAAAAAAAAACACTCAGGAAACTGAGCCAGGCGATACGCGCGTGTTATGTTCGCTGGAGTTAAGAATCATCAGCACTATTCCCTGTTGCTGAAGGTAATAATTATTTTGTATTTGCAGCAGCCTTATTTAACTTTCAATTTAATTCCAAATATTTATATATATATATATATATATATATATATATATATATATATATATATATATATATATATATATATATATATATATATATATATATATATATATATATATATATATATATATATATATATATATATATATATATATATATATATATATATATAGTAAAAAAATGCAGAAAATCGACTCATCACCGACACTGGATTAATCTCATTGAAACACAACAATATCATTGGGTGATAGGAAATGAATTTTAGTTTTCAAAGACACCGAGTTAATGGTCACAGCGAAAGGTCAACAGGGCAGATTCTGAGGGCAGTTGTTGTACACATTAGTGAGGAATAATGCGATCTAAAACACGCCTCTCCCACTCTGTCACACACTCAGCTCTCACCACAAGACCAACCTTTAGCGATCTAACACTCACTTTTTCGTTCACTGGAACTCACCACTGACTAACATCCCCCCTCCCCTCTCCTCCCCGCCACTAAGGAAGCATGCAGACTTAAGAAGCCGTACACAGTGCCCGGGAAAGTGACCATGAAGTGACCAAAATGAGGGTAATGTTATTTTGCAGGAGGCGCCTTGCTTACTGACTGCCCTGTTTATCTTGGTACACAAACACTACATCACCTGAAGCTCGTAAATGTGAATATCTCATCGCGACACAAAAATGTGAAACCAATTACCAAATTTGAACTTTTAATTACAATAACAATGCTCAACTGGACTTAATTTTAATATGAAAACATATTATAATTCGGAAAGGCTAATTAAATATATATATATATATATATATATATATATATATATATATATATATATATATATATATATATATATATATATATATATATATATATATATATATATATATATATTTTATTAGAGAAAAGATGAAACAGAAAGCGCTTGGACTTCTTTTCTTGTATCGATATACCTAGATCAGCCAGTGATTTGATATATATATATATATATATATATATATATATATATATATATATATATATATATATATATATATATATATATATATATATATATATATATGTAAAAACAAGTATCTTTCAGGAGGGGTCCGATGAATACAATACGTCACGACTTTTAGAGTTAATAAGTCAATAATATCTTTCTAAGCATCAATTTCTTCCAAATACAGAATCTTTACGTAAGTTAGGTCAGCTCACTAGGTTAGTTATGGTGCTCTTCCTTTATAGTTGCTCGTGGTTTCATTGTCCAGTGAATGGGGTTGTCGGAAGCCTCTGTCTCCAAAGAAGGAGGCAGCTACAGTGCTTGACTTATTACAACCTAGTGTGAGTTTGTGCTTCATTCATATGCAAGTTACTCTGCACATAATATACGTGACTGTTGCTGAATAAACATTACTTAAATTTTGGGGAATATAGCAGCTTTTTACTGAAAGCATTAAAACTGCAAGTAGTGGGTAGTAGGCAGCTACCAAGCAGGGAGGAACTACTGCCTAGGAAGATATTGGAAGCATAATGTGTTGTCTAATGGTAGACCCTGCTGCCATATGGCATCACGAAAATTGTGACCAAGTCCCAGGTTGCTGATCTGACTTTCTGCCTCATTCACACACAATTGCAGGGTCTCAATTGTCTCTCTTACTATTGACAACACAACATATATAACCTTTCTAACTCTTGATCTGTTCTATTTTTATCTATTCTTTTATTCTCAGATGATATCAGTTAACAATAATATAGGGACCTTCTAGGAAGGGTCCGATTGGTCGGGAAGGTTGTAGACCCCAGGGCCAACCTGATCATCATCAAACTACTGGGGCCTCAACTGACGTCACCACGGTTGCTGGAAGATAAGCTCTTTTCACACTTCATTTTTCCAACATTCGTGGCCCGAGATCTAATTTTTCTTCTGTGTAGCACCATCTATTAACCTCTTCCCCCGACCTCTTACTACTATTTGAACATCAACTGACCAAAGACAGCTTCACCCAAACCTACTGCTACAACACACAGATCACGAATCTCCCCTTTATGATGTCATCTGGCTCAAAATCTCTACCTACTGTGACTATTTTTCTTTGTTTCCTATACTGTTCTCCCAACTCTACCAACTATTTGGAACTCTTTGACTATCTCACTTCTTGCCATGAGTCGTTGCTATCCACACACCCCAACACCGAGATCCTCTACCTAGGGATTTTAATGTACATCACAGAGTGGCTTGGCTCTGCAAGGATGACCCAGGAGCTGAGGCACTCGTTTTTCCTTACTTAATGATTTGGAACAAATAATTAAAACACCCTACACGTTCCTGATCGACACGATCAACTTACTAACATTTTGATCTTTACTTTACCTCTAACACCACACTATTCATACTCAATTTCTGCCCCCTTAGGTCTTCTGATCACAATCTTATTTTTATTAAATCAAACTGGGCACGACCACCCCCACCACCCTCCTTTAAACGTCAACTATGGCACTATCGGAGGGCAAACTGGCAATCCTTGCGAGAATGCTTCTCCGACTTTCCTTGGGATGAGTGTTGCTTTTCCACTCAGGACGCCTTGGTATGTGCTGACAGCATTGCTGGGGTTATACAGGGTGGTATGAGTGGTTTTTATCCCATCTACCAAAACTTTTACTTTACAATCATGGTCTGATCGCTCCTGTTCTCTTGCGTGTAGGGAGAGAAATAGGGCGTATCAAGTTATGAGACTATCTCCTTCTATTCTAGGGATCGTTGTAAGTGTATTCTTCGTAGGGCTAAGCGAAATTTTATAAAAAGAAAGACCGCTGTCCTGACTAACTCTTGTTCTAGTAAATCCTTCTGGTCCTTAACCAAAGACATCAGTAATAACTTCGGCACGCCTTCTTTTCCTCCTCTCTTCCGACCTGATAACTCTATAGCCAACTCTCCCTGATAAAGCCAATCTCTTTGGCACCTTATTCTCTTCTAACTCCACCTTCGACGATTCCAACTCTCCCTCCTACCCTGCTACCTCTACTGAACCCATGCACTTTCCTATAATCACTCGTAGGGTTGCTGGTGTGTTATCCAGGTTGGATTTGAGTAAGGCGCATGGACCGGACGGACTACCCTTCGTGCTCTGGAGGAGTGTGCTGAAATTCTAGCCCCTGTGCTTGCTCGCCTCTTTCCCCTGTGCCTCAAAACCCTAACTTTTTCTTCTTCTTGGTAGCATGCCTCGGTTCAGCCCATCCCGGAAAAAGGTGATCATTCCAATCCCTCTAACTATCGCCCCATTGCCCTAACTTCATCCCTCACTAAGATGTTTGAAACTATCTTAAACTCTCATTTTCTCCGTCACCTTGAACGCCATCTGTTTTTGTCGGATCACCAGTATGGCTTTCGCCAGGCGAGATCTACTGGTGATCTGCTCTCCTACTACACCCATCTTGGTCATCCTCTCTTAGGGATTATGGGAAACTTTCAGTGTAATTCTCGACATCCCAAGGCATTTGACAGGATATGGTACAAGTCTTTGCTTTCTAAACTCCTCTTATGTTTTCTCCCCACTCGGTTCTAATTTCCAGCTTCCTGAGAACCGATCCATGGCAGTTGTTGTCGAAGGATCGATCTCTCGCTCTTTTCTCTTACCAATAGTGGTGTCCCACAAGGTTCTGTTCTTTCACCTACTCTCTTTCTCTTTTTATCAATGATTTACTTCACACTACGACTAATTCTGTCCATTCTTACGCTGATGACTCTACTCTTCACTCGTCTTCACATTTTTTCCTTCCCCTTAATTCTTAAACTAGATCTGTTTCTAGAGCTGATATCATTTCATCTATCAATGCGGATCTGTGCAGCATCTCCTAATGGGGAGGTAGAAACTTGGTTAAATTCAATAGTAATAAAACACAGTATCTACCAATTACACTTTCCAAATTAGGTGATCTCCCACCAATCACACTTCAAGACGCTGTCATTCTGCCAAATTCTAAAATAAATATGCTAGGCCTCACCATTTCCTCTAATATGCCATGGAAGCCACACATCCACAACTATGCTACAGCTGCCTCCCGAAAGTTGGGAATGCAGTACAGATGCTGTAATTCATTTACCTCTGAGCAGTTGCTTCAAGTTTATAAGGGATTCATTCGTCCTAACTTGGAGTACTTCTCTCCCTATCTGGGGTGGCTCTTCTTCTATCCAACTGTTAGATAGGGTGGAATCAGAGGCATTTCGTCTTATTGATTCTCCTCCTTTAGTTGATAATCTTTCTTCCCTTTCTCTTCGCTGCAATGTTGCTTCACTCTCTCTCCTTTACAGGTACTTTAACGGGCAATGTTCGGTGGATTTGGTATCCTGTGTACCGCCGGCAAGGCTGTGGCTCGTAACACACGTCTTGCCCACCGTTTCTCTGTGGATCTCAGTCACACTAGAATAACCCGTTACAGTACATCCTTCTTTCCTCATACAGCCAAACTGTGGAATGCCCC